ACTATCGGGAGGAAGTGGGAGGGGAGCTGTTGCATTGGGGTAAACTGTGGTCAATGTTATGAGACAAAGTGTATGTGAGCTGCTGTATGGAAAGTGAATTTGCTTTGTAAACTTTCACCCAAATCACAATTTAAAAAATTATTAAGGAGAAAAGAATCCAAAAGAAATAATAATAAGCCATTGTAAACCCTATGGAACACAGACCTACTCTGACTTAAACGGGATTGCTGTGAGTTGGAGTGGACTCACCCATAGCTGGCGATGTTTGCCAACTCCCTCCCCTTCATACAAAGAGAAAACCCAGCACCGCTATCAAGCTACAGATTTAAACCATTGTCTTTCATTCATTTATTTTTCCAGTTATTTTCTATTTATGTCTACTTACACCAGTTTAAACCCCCCATTTACAATGTAACAGCTTCCACCAGTCTCTGGCTTCCACTCCAGCCCCCACAGTTGGCTCCCGGTTCAGCTGCCAAAGTCAGCTTGTTCAAATCAGTCAGCTCAGCCCACACACTGTCCTTCCTCAGAGCCCTGACAGGCTCCCCTCTTACTCAGAGTCAAGGCCAAAGCCCTCACACTGTCCCCATGGCACTCTCTACCCACCCTCTCCTGCCATCCCCTGTGTTCCAGCACACCAGGCCAGCTCCTGCCCCAGGGCCTTTGCACAGGCTGTACCCTCTGCCTGGAACTCTCATCCCACAACTTCTGCATAGCTGATGCCCATGCCAGCTCATGCCCTCTCTTAGTGTCACGGTGCCCCCTACTGGCCATTCTGCTCAGGGCCACAATAGATGAATCCTAATAGAATGCATGCTTCCCACACCATCCTATTTGTTGAAACTGTACCCACCCCTCCATCTTCTGCCTCTCTCCTTCCTTCTTCATTTCCTTTCACGATCTTTTCATCCCCTGACATTACACTGAGCATCACGATTCTCAGTCTCTCTCCCCACTTAGAGTGTCCCCTCCTGGAGGCCAGGGGTCTTTGTCCAAGCTGTGTCCCCAGTGTCTACAATGGTGCCAAGCGCATGGTCAGTGCTCTGTAAATAATTGTTTAGTGAATTAATAATGACTTTGCTGGATTTAGTGAATTAGTGAATTGTGGTGTTGAGTGAACTTTTATTGAAAAGGGGCATTTGTGTGAGTTGATTTAAAGAAAAAAATTAACCCATAACACGTGAAGACATTAAATCAGTAATTTAAAAAAAACCTCCCAGCATTAAGATACAAGTAGCGGTCTCTGTACATCCAGAATAACGGAGAAAGGAAGCCAGAGACTCAAGAGAAGAAACTAGTCAGGACCATCAGTCCACGTGAACCATGACTTCATCCACTTAAGACCAAAAGAATCACAGGGTGCCCCCTAGTGGCCATTCTGATCAGCACCACAATAGATGGATCCTGATAAGAGTGGAAGCAAAATTAGAACAGAACTCAAATTCTTAAAAAGGCCAGACTTACTGAACTAGAGGATCCTCCGAGCCTATCACCCTGAGATGTTCTTCAACCTTGAACTCAAACAATTCCATGAGGCCATCTTTAGCTCAATGGCATACTGGCTCATAAAATACAATATTGAGTACCGTGTCCCTTTAAAACATCATCTGTGTGAGACCAAATGGTCCACATTTACTCAAAAGAAAAGATGAGAAGGTAAGGGAGCAGGGAAACTAGAAGAATGGAAACAGAACAACCAGAATGGAAATAATGAGAAAGTTGACACACTGTGAAAACACAGCCAATATCACTGAACAAATTGTGTAAAAATTGTTAAATAGGGAACCTAACTTGGTGTGTAAACTCTCACCGCAAACACAATACAATAGTTTAATTAAAAAAATTTTTAAAAACCTCCCTGTAAAGAAAAGTCTTAGGCCAGATGACCTCACTAGGGAATTCTAACAAACATTTTGAGAAGTGACTCCAATCCTACCTCAGCTATTCCAAATACAGTCATGCAACACTTGACATCCACAGCGTTTGGTGAAATAAGGTGTTCTGTGATTGGACTTTTGTTTGAACACCGGATTAGATAGAGGCAGTCCCCAGATTACAGACACATTCCATGCCTCAGTCTGTCTTTAAGTCAAATTTGTATATAAGTTGAAACAGGGACAGTTCACATCTAACATCAGTCAGTCAAATATTTGACTTAGTATATAGTGTATCTTTCTATGCATGAAAAGCAGTAAAGAAACATTCCAGAGACACTAAAATGTCTTTAACATAACAATGCAGGAATCGTGACCATAACATTTTGATGCCTGTCACCAAGTAGCACCTGGTTGTTATGACACACCATTGTACGCAGCTCAGCTTCAGGGGGTTGGGACCATGGACGTGATCGGACATTGAATGGACATGCTATGGAACAGAAGACGAAGGACTTCCTACCTCGTTCTATGGGGCTGGCATTCCTCTGATATTAAAACTAAACAAAGACACTACAGGAAAAGTGCAGCCCGATACCCCTTGAATATAGAATATTCCATGAATGTTCTATGGATATATAGAAGCAAAAATACTCAAGAAAATACTAGCAAACAAATCCAAAAACATATTAAAAGGATTATACGCCAAGATCAAGTATTTATCCCATGAATGTAAGGATGGCTCAGCATTAGAAAACCAGTGTATAAACCAAACCCACTGCCGTGGAGTCGATTCTAACTCACAGCGCCCCTATAGGACAGAGTGGAACTGCACCGCAGGGTCTCCAAGGCTGTCCAGTCTTTACAGAAGCAAAGCCCAAACCAAACCCACCGCCATGGAGTGGATTCTGACCCACAGCGCCCCTAGAGGACAGAGTGGAACTGCCCACAGGGTTTCCAAGGCTGTCAGTCTTTACAGAAGCAAAGCCCAAACCATACCCACTGCCATGGTGTCGATTCTGACTCACAGCGCCCCTAGAGGACAGAGTGGAACTGCTCCACAGGGTTTCCTAGCCTGTCAGTCTTTATGGAGGCCGACTGCCTCCTTCTTCCTCCCAAGGAGAGGCTGTGGGTTTGAACCGCCCACCTTTCAGTTAACAGCTGAGTGCTTTAACCACTGCACCACCAGGGCTCCTTAATCAGCATAATACTTCACATCAATAGAATCAAGGAAGAGAACCACTTGACTGTGTCAATGGATGCAGACAAGGCATTTGACAAAACTCAACACCTTTTCATGATAAAAACGCCCAGCGGCATACGGCCAGAAGAGAAACGAGAAAGGTTGAGGAGACTATGAAGCGGGCAGATGGAGCAGACTTCTTCAGGTGGTACTGGCATTACGTGTCCGCTAGGGGGCCTGAGGACGGGCTGTGCGGCCAGAGATTATAGAAGAGCTGGCATGGGGCAAATCTTTCTCTTTCTCTCTGCCTCTGTCTCTGTCTTTTGTATTGTGATTTGGGTGAAAGTTTACAGAGCAAATTCATTTTCCATACAGCAGTTCACATACACTTCGTCTCATGACATTGACTACCATTCACCACAATGCAACAGCTCCCCTCCCACTTCCTCCCCATAGTTACCTCTTCCCTGTGTCCATCCCTCCATGCACTCCTGCCCCCTGAGCTGTCTCCCTGTGAATACACAGCCCTTCTTTCTCCCATAACTGTTCTTTCCAAGGAGTGTATCTACCTCAGGTAAATGTTCAGCTCATATGCCTGTCTTTTGTTTGGCTGGAACCTACAGGTGTGGGTTCAATTCTAGACCTGAAGGGCAGCTAAGGGCCATAGTCTCAGTGGTTCCATCAGGCTCTATCAGACCAGCAAACCTGGTCCCCCCCTTTTATTTCCCCCCACCAAATGATTTTGAGTTTTGTTCCTCATTGTTCTCCCTCTCTCTCCAGGATCTCCTACATAGATCCCCCTCCGAGTGGTTGACAGTGGTAGCCGGGCACCATCTACTTCTGGTTTCATAGTCGTATAGGCTGCAGATCAGATGGTGTACCAGTCGCTAGGACTAATTGTTTGCATGAATTTTGGTTTTCTTCATTCTTTGCTCTGGATGAGGAGAGAGTAATCATTGCATCTAGATGGCTGCTTGGAAGCTGTTAAGATCCCTGTCGCTACTCGCCAAAGTAGGAGGTGGAACAATGGTTTGTGTAGTATGTTTGCCAACTGAGCTTGATGTCCAGAATGGGACAAATCTTGAGCTCATGCCGGAGCAGGCCCCTGTCACTCTCTGGGGCCTGGTGGGCTTTCCAGTCTCCCCCCACCTACCTGCGAAGGGTCCTAACACCGGGTCCCTCTCCCTGCCCCCAGGATGACCCCCACAGACAAGCCAGAGCTGAACCTGGAGCGTAACACTGGTAAGTGGGAACCCCGAGCCCCTCCCGCAGCCCCTACCACAGGTCCCCTAGTTCTCACCATTCAGGGGCTCCCCAATAGCAGGCCCGACCAGACCGCTCCAAGGCCCCCAGTCTCAGCCGGCAATCTGGGGCATCAGTGCACCCCCCCCTCAGCTTGCTTTTCCCGCCCCAGTGACTGGCACCCTGACATGTATTCACCTCCACTCACCTGGCTCCCGCTCCCATGGCCCCTACCCCACCCCACCTACCCCACCATCCCCGCAGCCCATCAGGCTCCAGGCCCTGCCACCAGCAGAGACCTCAGTCCTCTCTCATGGACCACCACCCAGTCCAGTCTCCGTCCCCCCAGACCCCTGCAGCTGGCTCCTCCGTGGTCTCCCATCATCCACCCCTGGGCAAGGAGCCTTCTGAGACTCCGGCCCTGTCCCTCCTCTGCTCAAACCTCCTCCAAGGCTCCCCAGGGCCCTTGAGACAAAGTCCAGGCTCCTAACATGGCTCTAAAGACCCTTCAGGAACTGGTCCCCACTGCCTTGCTTGGCTTCACTGCCCACATATAACATCCCCTGAAACAAATCAATCTATCAAATAAAATTGTTATCCAGATAGACTAAACAAAGCAGTTCCTCAAACACAGCAGGCTCTCTCGCTCTTTCTTTCTCTATCTCACCCTCACACAGGCCTCTGTGCACACAGTTCCCTCTCCTGCCTTTGCATAGCTCTCATTTCTCTTTCCAGAATCCCCCTCCTCCAGGAAGCCCTCCCTGACTCCCTCAGTCTGGGTCAAGTGCCGCCTGAGCTCCTTTGTCCCAACTCTGGTTCATCACTGTCTGGGGATGGGTCTGCCTTCCCCCTCTGGACTGGGAGCCCTTGGAGGGCAGGGCCAGGGCTATCTGGGTCACCCATGTGTCCCCAGCCAGGGCTGGGCAAGAAAAGGGGTTTATAAGAATGTCCCATGAATAAATGCCATGAAACAACCAGAGTGGGCCTGTGGGCCATCTGTCAGCTGGTACCTTCCCTTGTCCCCTGGTTCAGGTGACAGCAACATCTACGAGGTGACGCCATCACCGGTCCTCCTGGTGTCCCCCCTCAGTGACACGGGGCTCATGAATTCAGCCATGGTGAGTCTCCACCCCTCCCCCAAAGCCCATTTCTGACAAGTGCCTTCCCTCAGAGTTTGCCACCGTGCCCTGGCCAGCATGACCCACGGTTTGGGACCGTGTGGTTTTCCTGGCCACCATGACCCATGGTTTGGTACCGTGTGGTTCTCTCGGGATGCTGCCTGTTTTAAAAATCATCAGGAAGAAAGACTGAAAGGAAATAGCAAAATATAAACAGCATCATGTCTCCGGAACGTGGGTGGTGGGTGGTTTCATTTTCTCTTGTCAAGAGTCTGTGTTTTCTACACTGAGATACCAAAACAAAAACAAAACTCACTGCCATTGAGTCAATCCCCACTCCTAGCAGCTCCTCCTTGGGTTTCCAAGGTGGAAGTAGATTGCCCCATCTTCCTTCCGGGGAGTGGCTGGTGGGTTTGAACCGCCAGCCTTCTTGTTAGCAGTCAAATGCCTTAGGCACTACACCACCAGGGTTCCCATAGAGCAGACACTCCTTTTATAATTAGGAAAGAGAGAGAGTTGATTTTAAAAAAAAGGTACCATATTTTTCACATATAACACGCCCATGTCAATACGTACACGTGCATACGAACTGCATAGCAGGACGGGAAACTGACGCACAGGGGGGTTGTGTGATTTGCAAAAACCGTGTAACACACGTTATTGGTGTGGATATCTGGAACGTGAATGAAATAAAACCAGAAACTTACAAAGCTGAGGCTTAGAGCCCAAGATGTTGGTGGGGTCGGAGGTCAAGAAAGGGGGAGGCTGAGCGACTGCTGGCCCCCTGGACAAAGCCTGATAAAGCGGGTGCCCTCGTGCCCCGTAGTCTGAAGGGAACCCTGAGGGCCAGAGATGTGTTCTCACACCAGATAACATGCACGTCACAAGTTCATTATCCTGTGCGCATTTTATGTGTAAAGTGGGTGCATTACATGCAAGACTGTGGAAATTCCCTACCCAGGGGCCATGGGGAATTGGAGTCCAGCTCTGTCTTCATGCCAAAGGTCAAAGGTTGGAGGGCATGGGGGTGCAGAGAGGCCAGGGCCCAGCTCACTCACCTGTGTTCTCTCTCAGCAGCCCCCGCCCCTGCCCCCACCCCTGCAGCCGGAGCCAGAGGACCACCACTACCAGGTGTGGAGCTGGAAGGTGTGCGGGGGGATGTCAGGGGCTCCACGGAGCTGACACTCTGGGTGGAAAGGGGCCTGGGGAGGTGGGGTGTGGTCCTCCCCTCCCCCCTCAGGTCCTCTGGCTGCCTGCTGACAGCCTCCCTGAGAGCCACGGGCAAGTCCCCTGCCCTCTGGGGACTGCAGTTTCTGCCTTTGTCAGAGAGACCCAATGGGCTTGAATTTGCACAGGCGGAACCGGAACCGGAACCGAGCCCCTGGAAGAGTGGGAGGGGCGTGCCCAGGGTCAGACCTGCAACTGGGGCCTGCTTCTGGGTCTGGGTCTCCCTGACC